AAAGTGTTAAAAATAAGCTTCTATCATAAAAATGTGTTCAAACAACATCAGTGATAGAGAAGTGCTCATATAAAAACGATGTTTATGTAGGTTGTTCTATATCTGCTCTGGTCAAAAAGACAGTCTCTATAGATGCAACAAAGCATTAGCTTTTATACTGGATAGTAATTTTTGAAAAGTAAATGCTTTTTCACTTATCTATGTCTCCTGAGTTTCAGTTTAAAAATTTTTATAACCAGATATAGGTGATTTTCTGTCACTACCAAATGAAGAAAGGCCCTCAGGGAGAAATACAGTCAAGGTTAGGGAGTTGAGTCTCAACAATACATTGAAGTGGAGTGTCAACTGAGTTGGATCACCTGTGATAACCATCTCCCCGACAACCATGCCACTCCACACCTGCTATGTAGCAGCCATACACCTCAAAGGGCATTGACCTCAATGACATCTCCAAGGATGTAGCAAGTCAAGGGTGTCCCATGCCCTTTGTCACAGGATCAAGTGACTGAGGCCATCAGACTATCAGCACATGGCATTCCACTGGCCACAAGGATTGGCACTATGCTCAGATCACTTGCCAGATAATTGAGGAAGGCATTCTTTTTCCTTGGGCATTTTCAAGAGAGCAAATAGCTCAGTCATTTTTGGCAGCCTCTCTGGGCCTGCAAAGAAAGCCAGCTTTGGGTTGAAGACAGCACCTTGGATGGCAGAGCAGAGAGACAGGAAAAACAACACTAGATGCTTGATAAACAAACCCAGAGGCCTGACTACCTCTGTATTTTTCATTATATGAATCAATGCACTCCTTTATTTTTAAAGTTGGGTTTTTCTTTACTGATAGATCTCATCACAGGCCTATATTATCTAGATTGCCTACCACAATTATATATTTCATTGTGAAAAAATGTTAAAATGGATCTGTCACTAACATTCAAATCTTACTGATAAAATGCATTTATGACATGGGCTTATTTGCTGTTTAGTGAACTCCTTATCTTCGCCAATTGTTTTTATTAGGTAAAACAACGAATATGTTTATGTATCTTTGCCTAGAGACACCATTTTCTCCTCTCTCTCTCTCTCTCTCCTTGATTTGTAGTTCTGTGGGTATAACTTCCAAAAGCCATTCACTATATCACCAAAATGAGAACGGCCACATAAGCATGAGGAAAAGAGGAAAGAATTATCATATTCCAACAAAACATCTTACTTAAATTCAGAAAATACAGATGAGGATTACTCCACCTAGAGAATTACTCAAAAGCATTTTTGAACTTGACTCTCCTAAAGATTAACAAATTATTGATTAAATAACAGTAGGATAAAGAAGCTAAAATTGTAGCTGTTTTAGTGTCTAAATAATGCAGACTTTGGTAGAAAACTCAAACTGAAGGAAAATTAATATACTTTACAAATTTATTTTATAATCTTCGGTAATTTAGATAATTATCAACTTTTATTTTGTGTAGCGTAATAATTTTCAAAACAAAATAAGAACCATAACAAGTACAATAAACATAAAGCAATAATGCTAAGGGCACAGCTCTTAATGTTCTTTTCTTCTCTGTCCACACACACTGTCTTGGTGATCCTACCCAGGTTCACAGCTTTAAATACCATCTGTACACCAATTATCACCAGTTTTAAATCTCCAGACCTGACCTCTCTTCAATCTCAACTTCTATGTCAAAACTACCTTTATGACATCTCCATCTGGATGTCTAATTGACAGTTCAAACTCTGCATGTCCAAAACTCAACTCTTGGTCTTCCCCCTCAAAATGTGCTTCACCTAATGTTCCCTGAGTGAACGACAACTTCATTTTTCCAGTTGCTCAGGATGAAACATTGAGTCATCCTTGACATATCTCTGTTTCTCAAACACAACTAATAGATCAGTAAATCCTTCTTGTTGCCTGTACTATCGAAACATATCCAGGATCTGATCATGTCTTTCCACCACCAATTCGACTGACCAGTACTGAATCACTGTCATCTCTTGCTTGCATAATTGCAATAGCCTAACTGGGGATGCTGCTACCAGCTTTGACTGCCTACTAGTAAAAGATTGATCCTTTTAAATATGAAGTCAGATCCACGGGCTTCCTATTTTCACTCAACATAAAAACCAACACCTTCATAATTACCTCTATGAACTGGTCCTCTATGTGCTCTCTGACTTCTTGTCCTCTCTACTCTTTCCCCCTTGATCACTCGGCTCTAGCCACACTGGGCATGCCTTTACCTTAAGGGACTTTTTCACTGTTCTCTTCCACTTCCCTTCTAGATGTCATGAGATCATATCTGAATAAAACCTATGGAAACCCTATTTAAAATCACAAACTCTCTTCTCCACAACAACCTGTCCCAACTTCCTGCCATGATGCTCTATTTTTCTAAGTTTGCCTTGGCAATGATCGCTTTCTAACATTATCTGCACTTTAGTTGGTTTTCACGTTTATTGTCTCCTTTCCCACCAGAAGATAAGCACCATGCATTCAGGGATCTTGGTTTGTTCAGCTGTGCATCTCAAACACCTTGATCTGTGCCTGGAACATTTATCTCCTGAACAGATAAATAAAACGGTAGACCACTCTCTATGCCTTATTTGTTGATGACAAAAATGGAGTAATCCTAACAATGAAATTAGATCTGTTTTAGTTTTATAAAGGGCTTTACAATTTGCTTTATTTTCCATTGGATGGGAATGTAAATATTTTTTGAAAATATAACTGATGCATGTTATATCTATTACTAATGGGAAAACATTAATAAACAAGCTTTAACATCTCATACACCCACACGTAACACGTCTATAGATTTCCAATTGTGCCTATGGATTCCAGCCCCTGCACACTTCTCTCATTTGTCCTTACTTGGGGCAGTCTAGGCAAATAGATTGGCTATATACTTGGCTGGCTCTAACTTGGAAATGAAGTTTATTTCTCCTCTAATTTTTACTCTAATAATTCCAACCTGCAAAATCTTTATGTAGGTTTTATATAACCTATACCTTGTATTGCCAATTTTTAACATTTGCTAAACTTCCTTCCTTTCTCATGTATATGTTTTGTTTTTTTTCCTGAACTTTTTGATACTATATTGCTGATATCATGACATTTCACCCATAAATACTTCATCAAGTATCACTTAAGAACAATGACATATTCTTAGATCACAATAAAAGGATCATATTCAAGAAATTTAACATGAATATGTTATTATCCAATAGAGTCCATATTCAAATTTCCCACTAATGTTGTTTATAGTTTTGTTTTCTATACTCAAGATATAACTATGGACCACACATCGTATTTCATTGCCATATCTCTACAATAGTTCCTTCTTTCTCTCTCCTTCTCCTCCTCCTTCTGCTTCTCCTCTTCCTCCTTTTTTGTCTGTCATGTCATTGTGAGTGTCCAGGCCAATAATCTCCTCTAGATCCAGGTTAAAGTTATTTAGCAAAACCTCTACCTTAAAGTTGGACTTTTGATGCGTGCTCTAATAGCTATAAAAGAGGCAGTAGGCAAAGTGGTCACAAGTCCAGTCCACACAGCCAGACATACCTGAGTTCGAATCCAGCTCTGTCACTCATGTACTGTGAGAAATATTTAATCATTTTTCTGCCTCAGCTTCCCTATTTGTAAGATGGAGATGACCACACTACCCATTTCATGGGACTGTTATATAGATTAAATAGGTTCGTATATGGGAAGCACGTAGGCTAGTACCTGGCATGTGGCAGATGCTTTGTGTTAGCTCTATTTATAGTCTTAAAATAACCTTGACTAATTTCTATCTACTGTCTTGAGATTGGGGGGCAGGAAACACAGGATAGAAGCTTTATACCTTCCCTGAGTACAGAATAACTATCAAAGGCCTGGCTTAGAATTTTCATTAAGTCCTATTGTTGCTTTTGGAAATTCTGAGTGTTTTTACCTCACCAGCTTTTGACAAGTGGTATTTGTTGGAGATTCAAAAGGAAGAGTAAGGAGGGCATCTCCCTACTCTTCACAAGGGAGGTTCAGAGAAGAGCTGTCTTTGCCTGACAGCCTCTAGAGGGCAGCAGAGGCACTAGCGGCTCTGGGCTCCTTTGGGAGAGCGAATGATCCCTGCCTTAACATAAACAAGGTTTAACATCTCATACAGGACCATAAACTGGGCAGGAGGTTGACTTTGCTCAGAATAAATAGGTGTGTGATTGTTTACTTGGGGACATGAAGCAAGTAACCACAAGTAATATCAACATACTGGTATATTATTTTGGGGTAAGAAAAAATAATATGGAACTGTTTTGAAAAACTAAATATATCACAGTAATCACACACCCTCTCCACACCACGGTAACATGAAGCTCGCCAGATCTGGTTCCAGCAGTTTAATTCTTGGCGAGCAGCTGGGTGCTGCGATGACTTTGCGATATAACTGATAAAACTGTTGCCCTGGCAGCCCCCCTGGGAGGGAACGCCATCTCCTCCCAACAGAAGGGAGCAGCTCTGCGGCTGCCACCTCTGCTTGCAGCTGCCCAGCAGGTACATGGAGTTTTCTACGTGGTATCAACTTGAAGGCCTTTTGGTAAACGTTTCGAACTCTCAGAAGTCAAGTGTTCTCCTAAAGCTTAGCTATTACACGGTACTGAAACAGAGGCCTCAAAAAAAGTTGCAAAGCATTCAGAAATAGATTAAACAACAAATGCGTCATTTCTGGTAGTGCTACGAGCACCTTCTCTACATTCTGGCTGGGAGGCACTGAGTAATGGGTAGGAGCATGGAATCTGAAAGCAGATAACCCGGACTTGAATTCCAGCTCCACAACTACCCAGCTGTGTGATGGTGAACAAGCTACTGGTATGTCTTCTCTCTGTGCCCCAAGTGTCCTCTTCTGTAAGATGGAGATAATATAAGTACCCACCTCATAGGGCTCTCTGAAGAATTTAAGGAGTTCACATGTTAAATTTTTAGAACAGTCCCTTACATTTAATAAGCATCACAGAAGTGTTACCTTTTATTATCTGGAATCGCAGAATCTTCTGCAAATACTCCAGCCTTTCCCTTCCTCTCCCAGCCTCGATGGTCCCGATGGCAGAGCAGAGACTAGGACTCAACGCACCTACAGAGCATCACCCTCAACGGGTATCTAAAAACAAAAAGAGCATTTTCCCCTTTATCCACAACTGACAGAAGACGGCTGTGCAGCTCTCCTATCCTCACGCCTTCCCCTGTAAGTGCTCTCACTCTGTCCAGGCCCTTTCTCTACCTTTGCGTCACCTGTGGACCAGCAACGCTCTAGTGGATTCCGTGACACAGGTGGGGTGACCAGTTGTTTCCCTCCTGTCACCTGCTCCAGCACAGCCATTCCTAACACAGATCACGTCACTGGTCACCCACCACTACGCACAGACATTGCCTCTTTTTACTCAGTGGAAAGGGATAGCCAAGAGGTGTTTGCACTCCCAGTTTTAAAACAGAAAAATAAAGAGAATTCGTTTAGGAAAAAACATAAAGTGAACCCCTTTAAAGTTTACAAAAAGAATTTTTAAGTTGTTTCAGAAAACAGACAATACTACACCAAATCCAAACCAAGAAAATCATGTTAGTGACCTGGTGAGGAAAATCAACTCTGTTTGAAAAACAGGAGATTAAGAGGACGATGAGTATGTAGAAAACCAGGTCAGTATTCTAAACTGACATTATCATCATGTGAAAACGGGATCTGTGTGAATACGTCTTGTTACGAAAGACTCGTGGAACTCTTTTTTACATAGTTCTATGAGAACTGGGCAATTTCTGTTGGTTAGATGGTTTGGGAGCGGTACATTCTACAAAGCACACCAATTGTCCAATGTTTTAGTCCGTTCTGTGAGCTTACTTTGGGGACTTGGGTTGCTGAAGCTTAGTTTAACAAAGAATGAATGGATCGGTCCTCAGACTACTCTTGGCATTTTTAGAAACCAAATCAAGTTGAAATGGTTTGCGTTACACTTATGAGCCCTGAAATCTTGGGCAAGACTCGGTGGCCTCAACTGTCACGTGGAGATAATTGTACCTACAAGCAGCAGAAAATGAGGTGTTTCTGTCCCACCTTCTTCAGTAAGACCTGCTACTCCTCTTTCATAGAGTCCCCCCACCCACACACACACACACCCCAATATACTTTGCTACCCCTGTTGGTTGTTAATCAATGACTATACTCCTGGATGGAAGTCAAGCTCCCTTTCCTAGCCCACAGCCCAGAGTTGCCCTGTGGGGCAGATTTGGCCTGAGATGCTCCCTTGCTTGGCTCAACTCCCTATCCCTGGCCTGCTTCCCCCACTCCATACTGGTCTCTCCTAGAGCCACCTCAGGGACAAAACCCTTGTATATGAACCTCATTTCAGTATCTGCTTCTGGGGGACCTATGAATTCACATTTTACTCCCACAGAGTTTTGAAAAGATGGACAAAGATAATGTATCTAAAGCCCCTAGCACAGTGGTCAGCAAACTCATTAGTCAACAGAGCCAAATATCAACAGTACGACGATTGAAATTTCTTTTGAGAGCCAAAATTTTTAAACTTAAACTATATAGGTAGGTACATTGTTATTAACTTAATTAGGGTACTCCTAAAGGCTTAGGAAGAGCCACACTCAAGGGGCCCAAGAGCCGCATGTGGCTCGCGAGCCGCAGTTTGCCGACCACAGCCCTAGCACAATGTCTGGCGTGGAGGAAGCGCCACAGGAGTGTTTGCTATTGTTCTTATCTGAGGTTGGACCTGCAGAGCCAGGGAGAACCAAGAGAAATATAATACAGGGACTTCACACAAACATAAAGCCACAAACACACAAACTCTTGAGACATGTTGAGGGAACTGAATAATCCACATAATTGCTTCCATTCGCATCACTGGTGGCACCCTTGGCCTTAATTACAAGGGAATAAATGCTTCCGGCTGAGTTGTAATGCAAAGAGGCTGCTACTGTGTGCTCCCGTGAGACCCACCACAGGCATTCAATTGAGTTAATAAGTATGGATACCGGGAGACTTAAATGTTCCCTCTCTCATCTGCTTTAAAAAATATATGTATACATATATGGAAACTCTTTGGTTCGTCCTTTAACCGGGTTTCATGGAGTAGTTCCAAGGTTGCTTGCTTAAAGGTGAGCAGCGGGAGTCTTAAGAACTTAATTTTAAGAAATTCTAACAGCAAAAAGTGCACTTTGTTCCTTGGGTTTCTTAAACCTATATTCCCTATCCTTTCATAATAATTTGTCTTTTATGGATAAAATATACACAAATCTCTGAGGGGGAAAAAAGGCACCTGAAATGACCTGGATGACCAGGTTCTCCTGTTTTTAAATGGTATACACAGAGCATATTATTAAGATTTCTATACAGTAGCATTTCTATCACAGCTCAGAAAGAGAATTTACCGTTTCTTTATTATTCAGTTCAAATATAAGGGCAAAGAAACTTACAGGATTTCTTTTTTTTTTTTTTAAGGTTTTCATTTATCAGCTCCTGGAAAAAAAAAAGTGATATAGGCAAAATCCCTACATGATAAAACCCAAACCAAAGTAACAGTGGCTGGTGGGAACCTCTCAGTGAATTATTATGCTCCTAGGTCCTGAAAAAAAATTATTCTTCTCCGGTTCTCTCATCTGACCCCACTACAGACGAGCTTTTGTCCACTTCACAGCACTTGTGCCATTAATGATCTCCTCCAGGACAAATGGGATGTTCTTTCTCCTACCCTTGTTCACTTTAATCTATGTGTTGCCTTTGTTCGACTCAACCTCTCTCTTCCTCCTCCTCCATAAGCCTTTCTTCTCCTAATTTTGTCTGATCCTTTAGTATTTCTTTTTCAATTGTATTATGTATTTTAAAAATAAAAATGAAAAACACAATTAGAGTTGGGGTGGGGGAAGCACTCAAATACGAACACTATTATTTTATTGGATTTCCCCCCTCCCACCCAATTTTTTTTTCTTGCTGGTTTTTACATATTATAAATGGGACTCAGGATCCTTCTTTTTATATGAAATGTCTTGTTTTAATTATTCCACATGTTGCTCTATAATCTTCATAACCTCCATCCTGAATTCCTTTTAATAATCTCATCTTTCTTTTTTATTCTCTCCTCCTCGGTCTATTCTATTTCCCCGGGCAAATTCACTCCTTTCCCCTAACAAATCCACTGGAGAGCTGGACACTATATCTCACATTCTCCTCTTATGTTCAAGTGCCCTTTTGTCCTAATGACATGAATACTATTTTTTAAAAAACCAACAAAGCAAAATAAAATCCCATGTCCCGCCAAAATATTTGTACCAAAATACTACTTACTCTGGAAGTTAATCTGACAATTTAGATCAAAGATGTACTCTTCTGAAATGTCTAAAACATATCTTTCCTCGAAATAATTCCCAAGATTTTTTTTCAGAGTTCCTGTAAAAGTAATAGGTAGATACAGGCACTTAATTAGTAGTTTTCAACAAGACTGATACTAGATTAGCATTTTCTAAATCCTGCTCCAACTAAGACAAGTGAAATACAAAGATGCTCATTTGAAATACAAGTGATATTCTATTTCAAAAAGGGAAAGATTTCCATGACCAAAAACCAAAATAGAATACAAGTTGGGAAACCTTAAATTTAAAAAATTTAAGAGATTTCTTTCATCTTTACTGTAAGAATTTCCAAAGCCTTGAATACATTAATCCCAGCACCTCGCAGAGTTGGCAGATGCTCAGTAAATACGTGCTTAATACATGAATATGCCTTGTGAAGCTCCAGGAAATAGTACTACATGTAACATTCCCGCCAAAGAGAAGAATTTCTTTATTAAAGTTACTTAAACAACTATTTAAAACATGTTTATTAGAACACTGTATAGACCAATTAAAAACTTCAAATGGTCCTGAAGTGGGGGTTGGTTAAATGAGTTATATTCTGGTGCAATAGAAGACCATGGAGCCATGAAAAATGATGATACAGGTCAATGTTTAAAGATACAAAAAATGCCAATGACATGTGGGAAAAAGTAGATGATAAAACAGCATGAAATTTTGTATGCTATCTATCTAAACAGATGTGTAGATATGTCACATAAAGTATATACAGGGTGGGGCAAAGGTAGATTTACAGTTGTGAGTATGTGAACCACAGTTTATTTTTGTATTATTATTTACTAATTACAGTATTATTTTCCACATGAGCAACCATAAACCTACTTTTGCCCCACCCTATATATTTGAAAAATGAAGAAGTTTAGGTAATTATCTTTGAATAGTGCAATTATATGTGATGTGATTTTCACTTTGTACTTTATTTTTTATTGTTTATATTAATGAATTATTCAACAATGTAAATAAAGATTTAATTTGACAAAGAAGCTCATTTCAATATTATAAGAGAAAAAAAAGACATCAATAGTATCTAACAATAAAGAACTAAAACAGATTATAGTATATCATAAAATATCACAATATGAAGTCATCAAAATGATGTAGAAACACATTTAATTTAATGGAAAGAGATTTACAACATACTTTTAAGTTGAAAAAGCAGGTTATAAAACAGCATGTATAATATAATTTTGTTGTAAAGTAGTTATATGTTCATAATGGTATAGAAGGATCTATAACAAAAACTTTACACTGTCAATCACTGGGTTGACATGTGTTTTATAAAGTTCATCAAGTTCCTACATTGCTTACAGAACAATAAAATCAGCAGACTTATCAATTTTTTTCCATAGTTTGTTTCCTTAGCAATCTGGGTAACATAAATAAATCACTTATGATCAAAGAAAAAATAGGATTCAATAACAGTACATGAGTAAATGCTTGCTTAAAATGGTAATGCTAATAACACTAGCAAAGATGCCTAATTTCTTTTCCAAAAATAATGAAATTGTGGTAAAAACAGAAATGAATTTTTTAAATGCCTTTAAAGAAATAATAGCTTTAATTGCATGAGGCCTTCTACTTCTTGATCCCTAAGTGGTGTGGACAAGCACCTCTGTGTACGACCAAGAACTAAAGAAATCAAGGTGTCTTGATTTTGAACATTTAGCATAGGGTTATTTAAAGACTGAACAATCTGCATTAAGAAATAATTCCAATTAGTCTCTGTAATGCCATTGTAATGCCATTCTTAGCATTCATGTGTCTAAATTTCAGAAAATAATTTAATTTATGTAAAAGACAGTGGGATCCACAGAGGAGTCACAATTTTTATTATGCCTAGAACATTAAAAAGAGTACCACCTACAGCCTCCATCATTTAAAAAGAAATAGTATTCTAACCTTGAAAACGTCCTAATTTCAGATTTTTAAAAAAATTCCCTTTAAGATTAGTCAGCTTAGCTTTCTATACATAAGTAGTATATTGTTCGTGTTTGTCTCGTTTTGCTGCCAACTGGTGAAACTGTAGCAGGCACCGGAGTCGCTGAGATCTAGTAAAGAGCTCAGTGTAAGAAAGCACCCCGAAACAAACAGCCACTGTGTGTATTTAGTCAACTATTCAGAAAATTGTGACAAATCAGTCCAAAGGATTTCCAAGTGAACTAGGTCTAGCATTATTCAGGGTGGGCAAAGGCAAGGTTTTTGGTTGAAGTCAGTTTAAATAATAAAACAGTAAAACTAAAATGACCTTAATGATATTTTTCCCCCCGTTTCCCAAACCTCGGTCATTAATGTATTGTCCTCACACGTTTTGTCATGTTTGCATAACACCCCTGCTATTATTTATCGAACATCTTCCTGTTGGGTCTCTCTCCTAGGCAACGCTGTCTATGAATCAGAGCTTTGATGGGCTACTCACGTAATCATTACCCATATAATCATCCAGCCATCCAAAAAGACCTTGCATATTTGTCATCTAGTCTAGCATTCATTTCATGGAGCCCAGTGTAACAAGTAATGTGTTCAATTACCTAATGTGTTCAGGATCTTACTTGAAGAGGATGACAAAGCAATTGGTGGATTTGAAAAACAATCGTAATGCAAATGTTCATGGCCTGACTGTCTGCTTAATTAACTCTAAGTATATAACTTCAAAGATGCTGAAGTCACCTGTCCTTTCTATTGCAATTTCACTTACAAATGTTTTTTTTTTAATATGTTTTTACTGATTTTAGAGAGCCAAAGGGAAAGGGAGAGAGAAACGTCGATCAGTGCCTCGACTGCAAACCAGCAACCTTTTGGTGCACGGAAGGACACTCAACCAACTGAGCCACACTGACCAGGGCCTTTTTTTTCAATTCTCATATGACTCAACATTCTCTGCCTTGTGTTATCCATTCATCCAACAAATATTTATTGAATACCTACCTTGCTGCAGGCATTGCCTGGAGCAAAACAGCCTAGCCACCTTGTCTTCATGAGGAATCTTACATTTCAGTACATTTTTTTTAAAAAATGCTTTTATTGATTTGGGGGAAGAGGGATAGAAAGAAACATCATTGATTGCCTGACTCCTGCATGCCCTCTACTGGGGATCAAGTCTGAAACCTGGGCATGTGCCCTGATGGGGAATTGAACCAGTGACCTCTCGGTTCATGGGTCAAAGCTCAACCACTGAACCACACTGGCCAGGCCATTCTAGTACATTTTTATAGCTTTCTAAGTATATATCATGTTTCCTCTTCTAAATTCTAAATTCCTGGAGGACATAAAATGGGTCTAGTTTAACTTTGACTTCTCCTCCACAGCTTTGACCTGTGTGTACTTTTCAAAATAGTTGAAAATAATTGTTTAGGTCATGCCCTGGCTGGGTGGCTCTGCTGGGTGGAGCGTACTCCCATGCACAAAAAAAGACGGTAGGTTCGATTCCTGGTCAGGGCACATACCTAGGTTGTGGGTTTGATCTTTTTTTCTCTCTCTAAAAATCAATAAAAACATATCATTGGGTGAGGATTTAAAAAGTAACTGTTTTGAGTCTTAAATTAGCTGTATTTAAAGATAACATCTTGCATAAATTCATTTGTTATCAAGCAAAGTAACCCATTTTCTTTACTAGCTTAAGAAAAGATATTCTATTTACCTTAAATTTTAACGATTTCCCAAAAATTTCAAACATTTCATGTTAAGAAAAAACAACTAAACCAAATATCCTTTTTTAAGTGTTGCGATAATAGCTTACCATTAGGTGCTGACAGTTGACCATTTTTGGTTTTCATATGGCTTCTTCTTCAAGTCATAGCTATTGTCTCTTTCTCTCCTGTATGTTCTTTCTCTTTTAGAAAAGAAGTAAACTACAGTGATATATTCAAACTTTATGTAAAGATTAAACCTATAAAACAGGTAGATTAAGGCTTTGCAACTTTAAATATGATTTATTTTATTTATTTATGTATAATTATTTATATATTTATATATTCTCTCTATATAAAAGGCGAATATGCTAAGTGTCTGTCCGACCCGTAGCTATGACGCACACTGACCACCAGGGGGCAGACGTTCAACGTAGGAGCTGCCAAGCTGCAGTGACTTGGCAGCGGTGGTTCTCGGGTGATGCATCCTGAAACCAGAGAGGGGGGGAGCCCGATTCCTTGCAGGGCCGCACGATTCCACTTTCAGCCATGGGTTATGTTGTTGCTAGGGCACTGTTGGCCTAGAATCTGGTTTATTGCACACTTGCATTTGTGTTCCACACCCTGTATGACAGCAACTTTGCAGAGTGCCCTCTCGCACTCCAGGACCTCTTGGGGGATGTTGGGAGAGCCGGTTTCAGTCCCATCCTCGCAGGCCAGGCTGAAGGACCCCACCTGCCAGAGGGATCCCGCTTACTCAGCAGATGCCCTTTGAGCCGCGGTGCCATCCCAGCTACAGCCGGGGAGGGACCACAGGAGGTTGGCTCCAGGGCGTGTCCAGCCCATCTTGTCCAGTCCCGCCCCACCAGCTACCTTCTAATTAATTTCCTTTCAATGTGCACGAATTTGTGCACCAGGTCACTAGTTTATTTATAAACATACTTACTTATAAATATACTAGAGGCCCGGTGCATGGATTCATGGGGGGTCCCTTGGCCTGGCCTGTGGGGATCAGGCAAAAACCTGCTCTCTGACAACCCCCAAGGGGTCTCGGATTACAAGAGGGTGGTTCTCGGGTGACGCACCCTGGAATCGGGCTCCCTCCTCTCTGGTTCCAGGTGCATCACCTGAGAACTGCAGTTGCCAAGTCACTGCAGCTCGGAAGCTCTTGCATTGAGCGTCTGCCCCCCGGTGGTCAGTGCACATCATAGCTACCAGATGAATGGTAGCTTAGGCTTTTATATAGAGAGATTTCTTTATTTTAAAATATATTTTAATTGATCTTGGAGAGAGAGAAAAACATCTATGTGAGAAACACTGATTGGCTGCCTCCTGCACACCCTCTACTGGGGATTGAGCCTGCAACCTGGACATGTGCCCTGACCCAGAATGGAGCCAGCGACCTTTTGTTGTGTGGGATGAGGCTCAAACAACTGAGCCATACTGGTCAGGGCCATCTCTTCTTTTTATGGAACTCTTCTGCTTTCACATAAAATCAGAGAGGATTTTAGAGGGAGCATAAAACACCAAAAATCTGGCTCCAAGCAATTTGCCCAAAGCCATCAGCCTTTGGTAACAAAATCAAATTCTGTGTCCATCCCCTCCTTCCAGCTGTTAGATAAGCTGGCCTCCCGCAAATAAGAAACTTAGCCTCTTCTCAACAAAATAGAAATATGCACAAGTTCTAAACTTGGTTACATTTTAGTACCTCCTTTTGTGTGTGTGTGAGTTTTTTTAAATGGGGAAAAAGGTAGTAAGACTTTACAGAGATTTTAAAAAAAAAAAACAACTTATAAGTCTAGATGAGAACCAAGAATGTCAGTAATAGGACCTTGTGGTTTTGATGCCTTTTTATTCCATTTTTAGTATCTAGTTAGAACTATTATATTTCCTGAATGCTGAGGACAAACCCAGTTTAAGCTCTGCTTCTTAATCTCTGTCTCCCCCCCCCCCCCCAGTACAAGAGGATATGGCTGGTAGTTTAAAAAATGATAAAAATGACTCTCAAATAGCTATGTATGTACTTTTCTTGGGCTTCAGTATTCCTCCCACTGATATAAATAGTCTCTCCTTCCATGGTAACTCTGCCTCTATAGGCAAATGCTGCAGTGCGGCCGAGAGGCTGGGTCAGGTCTGTAAATTACGCGTTAGGGATGCTCTTGCTGCTCTTCAACTTGACGCAGAGGTTTCTCTATGTCCAAGTGAACACCTCTGCTCGCTACTGAGACAGCAGAGCAACACAGGACACTCGTCAGCATTGCAAGCCAACACCTATGATTCCATGATCAGGAAAATACCAATAATATACCTCCCCCAAAAGACCAACAAGAAAGTCTAGGACAGGGGTGGGCAAACTTTTTGACTCGAGGGCCACAATGGGTTCTTAAACTGGACCGGAGGGCCGGAACAAAAGCATGGATGGAGTGTTGGTGTGAACTAATATAAATTCAAAGTAAACATCATTACATAAAAGGGTACGGTCTTTTTTTTTTTTTTTTTTTAGTTTTATTCATTTCAAATGGGCCGGATCTGGCCCGCGGGCCGTAGTTTGCCCACGGCTGGTCTAGGAGCTAGGTCAAACATTCCCAGTATAACATACCCTTAATATTAAAGTATCACCACACATCAAGACTTTATCAGTTCTTTCAGAACTTCAGTCACTCAGAAAATGTTTCAGAATCTAACACATAAATATCATTTCTTCGTGAGTCAATGCCACTGAATGGGCGGTAAGGGCAAGGGGTATAAAATGAAGCACAGAGCCCAATGAGTGACCCTTGGCTATCTCAAAATATTACTGCTATTGCAGTCATCCCAAAGTGAGGCCATAAGGGTGGAGGGGCCTAGGAACGGAAATAAAGAAGGGGTTAAATTGGAAACATAGAGGTGGAAGAAATAACAAGATCTTGTTTGAGGAATACTCACAGGATAAAAGGTGGGAGGAAATGAATTGGAGGGATTGGAGGAGGTGATGTCAGCTGTCACCATATTTTCTCATGGCTCATAGTTCCTCTTCTTCTTCCTCTTCATGCACTTTGATCCCCAAGTCCTGTTAATGGAAAGTCCTCAAATCCATATCCCTACTCTCCATCACCCCTGTCACTGCCCTTGTTCATGCCAGCCACATCCCTCCCCTGGACTACCTAGTGCATTAGACTCCATATTCCTCTCTCCCTGCACTCACCCTCCTGTAATTTATCCTACATTCAGCCATGAAAAGTGACCTTTCTAAAGCAACAACTGGATCACATCTGCCAAATTCCTTCTCTGGCTCCATTGTGCCCTAACCCTATGCACACAGCCTTACAGGACCCTTTATGATGGTACCACTCCTGCTGCTCCGGCCTCACCTGAGATCCCCCACCTAGGGCTACCGCTCAGGCCAAATAGGCAGGCGGGAAGGTGCAGTGGTCCAGGGCATGGACGCATAGCTACACAGCGGGTTTCGAGTCCACCCCACACAGTTCACCTGAACAAGTTACCCAACTATGGTGATTTAGTGTCTTCATCTATCAAATGCTGTTAGGAGGATAAAGTGAGAATATAATTTAAAATGCATCTGATGGTGCTTATTAAGTAAAAGAAAAGTAATTCTCTGGATTGTCAAGTTCTCTCCTATCCCAGTGAGTTTACATCTTCAGGTTCCTAAACCCATTTTGGGGGGGCAGACTCTTTCTCAGGGTCAATCTTTAATCTTCCTTCTGGAAGGAGCTAAAATATCAGGTCTTCTGTGAAGCCTTTCTACCACACTTTGTTCGTTCCCCTAGTAAAACTTTTATGGTTATCATTTGTATTAGTTTCCTTTGGCTGCTGTGACAGATTATCACAGACTGGGTGGCTTAGAACAACAGAACTGTATTCACTCATGGAGCTGGAAGCTAGAAGTCTGAAATCAGTATCCCTGGGCTGGACTCAAGTTGGCAGGGCCACACTGAATCCAGAGGCTCTTCAGGGAAAATCTGTTCCTTGTCTCTGGTGGTCCTTGCATTGCTGGGTTTGTAGCAACACTGCTCTAACCTTGCCTCTGTGATAATATTGCTGGCCCCTTGTCTGACTGTCCGATCTCTTATACAGACTCTTGTGCTTGCATTGAGGGCCCAACCTGATAATCCAGGACAGTCATGCCACCTCAAGGTCTTCAACTGAACACATCTAAGGTAACCATAGAAGGTAGCATTTATGGGTTCCAGGGATTAGGAACCAGTATCTTTAGATGCCATTATTCAGCCACTGCATAGCTCTTTGCATGTATATTGGTCTTTTCACCTTTGTCTGAAAACGGTCTATCCCAGTGTAGACACAATGCATAATCAATAACTGAAATGCACATAGAGGTATGCCAGTATAGGGTACCAGTCCACTGCCCCTGTTCATCCGTATTCCATCTTAGCTAAGGCTTGATTTCTGTAGGCCAGAGCTATTTCCTTCACGTGCCAAGTTGTGACTGGAAGGAGGTTTCCCTGACGACTTAGATCAATTTCTAGGTTAGAGACATGAAGCGAAGGGGGCCTTTATCTTTGTGTCCCTTCCTGTGAGCCACAGTGAGGCGAAGCAATGGAAAACTCCATTCCTTCCAAACCCTGGGCAGAGAACGTGGAAGAGATGGAGGGGCCCCGGCAGCTGGAAGGTGACTTTCACGGAATGTGAGAATTCCGAGTGAGAGTGACAAGCATGAGTTGCATTAAGAGTGCTGTCATCGCGATTTGCCCAGGCTGGGTTGTTGCCATTCCTTGACCATTCATTTTAAACAGTTTTCTTCGCAATTTAAGGGCCTAAATTCGTGGCTGTTGCTTGACTATTTTCCCATCTCAAGTCACTCTGCGTTCAGCACAGGCCTGTTTCTGAAAGGAGACTGCCCCTTTCCCCTTGTCCTTAACTCAGTCACCTTCACCACAAGAACCAGTCTGCCTCAGTCACCAGTTGCCTGGGAAGACAACTCAGTAGCTATGCTAATGTTTTTCTCAATGAGAGAAGAAAAAATTGCATACAATAGAAACGTATACAATAGATTACTTTGCGCGATTAATCCTTGCAACGGTAAATTGCTTACTGTTTATAACTGTTGTGTTTATTTCCACGTCATCTTTTCTTCTTTGTACTGGTTAAAGCTCCCAGAAATCAGAGTTAAAAACTTACACAGCCTCAAAATTTATTCAAGGTTTGCCGATGTAGACATGTACTCAGAAACTTCTAGGGTTTGAGAAATTTCTTTCATTAACATAGAATACCCATCTATCATAAAACACAATTGCCAAAATCAACTCAGTGTGTCTAGCTAGCATAAAATTTATCTAACATAGTAGTCTGGCACCTGTCAGAGGCTTTTCTCACTCCTGTAGCCTGTCCAACTAGAGCTACTTACCCCCTAAAAATACCTGGAACAACTCTCTCCATATAGCTCTGCTCCAGTCATGTCTTTCATACCAATGGAACTTTTCACATGCTGTTCCCTCTATTTGAATGCTTGTCCCTCCACCTCTCCTCTTGATTAAATTCTATTCATCCTTTGGATTTAGTCCAGGTATCCCTGTCTCCAAAAAGCTTCCCTAGACTAGGTTAGATCCCCCTAAGAACTTGAGACCACTGACTGTTGATGTGATTATGTGATCAAAGTCTGCTTCCTCCACCAGAACGTACAGAGCTCTGCGAGGGCAGGGAATGAGCCAGCTTTTGTTACCATTCTATCACCAGCCCATCTCTCTGTTGCTGGAACACAGTAAGCATGTAATGAATATTTAAATGTTGAATGCACATGTGGTGGGCTCCCATGCTAGATCTGCCTGCCACTGGGCTATTTAGGCAACTCATTTCACTTCACAGGCCCTGACTTTCCTCATTAGTAAGAAAATGCCTCTTTTGGTCCCAACATTCTAGGATATTTATGGTTCCTGCCTTCAGCCTTTAAGACTGATCAGGCTACAGCTAAAAAGAAAGTCGACACTAGCTGTTATCTGCTTGCCATATATCTCCCCACGCGGAAAAGAAACCTTATGCCGAACAAGAAATTGGAATTACCCTCGAACACCTTTGCTTCTTTCCCTGATGCCACTGCCTCCTTCTGGCTTTCTTCGCTTCTCACTTAAAATACTGCAAATGCTCCCTTCACTGGTGGTCCTGTGTTCAGTCCTGTCCCCTTCCAATCTACCTGCAAGACTGCCAGGAGAGCTGAGCATATAACACTGATTATGGCACCCCTCAGCTTGGACACTTCCAGGGACTCCCACACCATGTGGGGGACAAAACTTCCCCTGTTTCTGCCTCGCCTTGAGCACTTATGCTCCACTCAGAACCACTCAGGGGGCCCAACTCCACACCGTTCTTTGAGGTCCCTGTCTTTGCACATGGTTCTCTCTGCCTGGAAAACTGTTCTCACCTCCTGTACTTGCAAAGTCCCATCCATCCTTTAGGCTCAGCTCAAACATCTCTTTAACGTGGCACCTTCCTCACTCCTCTGGCTGCGCGAGTCCCTCACTGCCTGAATTCCCACAGAACGCTTTGTCCAAGCCGCCAGAACAACACGAAGTGAGCTGTGTTTGTTTGCACGGGGATAGCCGCGGTAAGAGTGTGGGCCTCAATTTCAGACGGACCTGAGGTTGAAACCAAATTCTGCAACTTTCTTGTGTGGTCTTGGAAATGATTCTGAATCTTAGTTGTCTAATTTTGGAAATGGGAGCTATAACCCCTAACTCACTGTTGAAACCACAGATTAAATGAAATATTGTGATTAGTGCACTTAGTACAATGCCTGGCCCATAATTCTTGATAACTAACAGTAATTATTATTGGATTGTGAATGTGGTGAATGCAAAGAGCTACACTTTGTCCATCTTTCTATCTGGCACATAGTGGGTGCTCTCAGTGAACGGTTCTTAAAATGCACGAGTGAGATGGTATTTCTGATGTATTTTTCTTTACAGGAAGGCTGGAGGCTTATTCATTTTAGGAATTTAAGTCAAATAGAGTCAAAAAGTCCACTCATCTCATGGCATATTCCAAATCACATTTTGCTACACTAGTCTTGACCTTACACCGGTAACAGTTTGAGAACAAACCTGAGTGTTAAGTATTAGTGTTTTCTGCTAAACTCTCCACGCTGTTAGTCTTTACTGTATGCACGCCAGTTTCGGCCTTTACATAATCCTATGCGCACACAGACGACATCCTTCTCATCTTAAAACACCCAACAGCACGCACATGTACAGGACTAATGCTAATAAGCACTGCTCTATGTGCTTAGGGTGTTGTAACTCCTCTAGGCGACTCATAACCTAGCGGACTTTTCTCAGATGACTGTTAAAACCACTGCAAACTCTAGCTGAGGGCTCTGGCCACAGCCTGGCATTGCCCCCAACAAGAGCCTTAAAGTCCTCTGCTTGTTCAAGGACTGCAGTCTCCTCCGTGGGCCTGCGCAACCCCCCCCCCCCCCCCCATTTCTCGCAGTGGCTCTCAACCTTCTGGACCTTTAAATACAGTTCCTCATGTTGTGACCCAACCATAAAATTGTTTTCGTTGCTACTTCATAACTGTAATGTTGCTACTGTTAGGAATCGTCATGTAAATATCTGATATGCAGGATGGTCTGAGGCGACCCCTGTGAACGGGGGTCCTTGGACCGCCAAAGGGGTCGCGGCCCACAGGTTGAGAACCGCTGTTAGGCCTTGCAGCTAAACCCCCCTAGGGGGGCAGAGGGGAAACCACGTTCACACCCTACACTCAGAGCGACTCTAGACGAATTAAAGCCTCACACGGTTAGAAACCTTTCACCCTCAGCACATCCAACTTTCCCACTGTGATTTCTCCCCCGTGTTCCCCGGTGGCTTCTGTAGGACATCAGAGCGCAAGGTGGGGAGACATCGGTGCCCCCTTCCAATTACCAAGGGCGGGCGTTCCCGGGGGCCAGGCTGACTGTGCAGGGGGGGCCTCGGGCACCGGTCCCCGCAGGCAGGCGGCCATCCGCCCACGGGGCAGGGAGCAGCGTCCCGCGCCCCGTGGAGACTCGGCGGAGGCGCAGACGTCTCCCGCCCTCCTTCCCGGAGCCGCCGTGCTTTGTCGCGGCCACACCGGAAGCGGCCCGACAGGGAGCGGGCGGCCGCCGAGGGTCCCGCGCTCTGGGCGGGGCCGCGGGACCGGTCCCCCTCCCTCCCGGGGCGCGCGCGAGGGCCGGGCGGGGCCGTCGTCCCTTCCGGGGAGCGGTGGCCGCCGCCGCCGCGTCCGCCGGGCGGCTCCCCACCCCGCCCCCCGCGGCTCGGGG